ATATATATGCAAGACTTGGCTATTACATGTTTGTATACCGAGTACAATAAAGTCTCCAGTTGGAAAAACAAAAGATGCTATTAAATCAGCTAAAATTGTGAAGGGGGGTCAAATCGATTACCAAACAAAGCTCAGGGACATCAGAGCATGTTGTAAAACTACTATTGATCTGGATAGCAGAAAAACATTTATGTATTCATTTCACTCTTATGGAACCCTTATGGCAATGTTCTAGGGAACCCCAGCATCTATGTAACAATATTTTTTTTTGTAATATTTTTACGAATGATCATTAATGGATACAAAAAATGACTATAATTTTAATCTCTTATTTCTAAACAAAAAAGTGCCATTACATTTGGTTGGTATAAGCATAAATCTGATTAGGTATTTAAAAAAAATTCTTTAGTATAATAATTTATAACAAATATTAATGTAAAATCTGCGCTTGTTTTTTTGGATCATTAATTTTGAATTTAGGGCCTGAATTTTTATATACATTAGTGGATTTCATCTTCCACAGAAAGATGATGATTGCTGTCCATACTCTTAATACTTGTTGAATAAAGTTTGTTCACACATATATGATGTTGTAACCTTCAGCAATGTATTAATTGCTGTCCTATGAATTGTTGGGTGTGCACATTCAGTGGAAATCAAGAATTTGTCCAAAACCATGTCATTAGATCTCGTTTTCAATGAACCACCTAGTGTAAATCACAAAGTAGTTCTTCTTTTAAATTTAGGTTCTAAGGAGGAATGAAGGTGTGAGGGAATGAATTCCTCACCCAGTTTTATAGTTCTGTTGACCAGGATGATAAATAATTATAAATTTTCTTTGACAGTTCCTGTAAAAGGGGAATATAATAAAACTTGAAATTTGTTGGTATCTATTTTCTATTTTTAGTCCCACCAGTAATTCAAACATATCAAAATTTCCTTTTACAACATGATCTTTTCATAAGTTTAATTTTCTTTTAAATCCAAGAATCTTGTCACTTGATGCTTGTTATTTTCTGTGCTGCCTTGCGGAAACTTATTCAGTTGATTGAAGTGATAAAACATTTCTGCGAAATATGCTAGCACATCTGCATTCACATTTTATCCTCAAAGCATTTAATGAAATCTTGTTTGTCATTTTCTTGAAATAACTTTCATTATACTGACAAAACTTTACTGCACCTCTTTCTTTATGAGTCTTGAACTTTTGAGTGAGATTTTAAATCTTGATCACTAGTCTCTTCAGAATTATCTAGATTATTTGTCTTTAAGTGTTGCCACATTTTAACTATTAAAATCTATAGAAGAATTAAAAAATGAGATACAAAACCAATAAAATACTAATAAAATAGTAGTAGTATAGTAAAATAACTAATAAAATAGCAGTAAAATAAAATATATTTACTACCACTCTGTTTAACCAGCCACATGATCCTACACTTCTGGCATAACTAATGCATACACAGTCACACTATATTTTAATCAGTGACAATTGAAAAACCGTGCTCGGTTGTTAGGCTGTGCTTGGTTAGACTCGTTGGACTTACTGGAATTGGCATTGCAAGTTTGCATGCGTAACTGTGCAATGCCAATGTAGAATTTAATAAAAATTGTTAAAGAATAAGATAATATTTATTTATTTATTTATTAAATATTTGAATTGATAATGCAAGTGACAAAGAAATTCATGCTATTGTTGACGATGTCTGATTAGTCTAATTGAGCATAGCCGAACAGTCAAAGGTAGCTTTTCAATTATAGACTCTTGGCACAGTCCCACCTGCTTTCCTGATCGAAGTTACTGAATATAGTACCGAATCAGGAAAAAAAAAAAAAAGTTTCTGTTTATGATGTACGTGTTATTCCCCTATTTTTTGCAGAACCCTGGTTGGGAAATGCTGATATATAGTATCATGTGCTGTGGTTAATTTATGAACCCCTGTTTTACCCCCTGCATTTATATTTTAATAGATTTATGATAATATTAAGAGGATTTTTTTATGAGAACAGGTTAATTATTTTCCTTTTATTTTGTACTGGAAAGGTTCATTTCTTGTACATGCAAGGATCTAAAATGTATTAATGACATATACCAAGGTACCACTCTTTATACAAAATATGATAATTGTTTCCAAGAAACATCTCTGTATTTTTTAAATAGATAAAACATGATTAATATTAAATTCAATTATCAATGTGAAATAAGTTTAATGAAATGTTCATTTTGCATAATTCACATTTGATTCTAAAAAAATTACGATATTGATGTCTGCTGATTTTCTTCTTTCAGCTTTACTTTTCATACATTTCTTTCTAGCAATGAACTGTATTGTTTGTCATTCATTGAATGGCAAGGCTGTTCAATATTGGTGTCGACTTCCATAATATGCTGTTACAAGGTTTTAACCACTTCAGTATCTTTTTATTAGCTTTTATTAGTTGTTCAGCTGTTAATGCTTCTGAAGGCACTTTAACATAATCATTCATTGTCGTGTCATTATTGTCATTGTCATTTTTTAGACTTTTACTTATGTACCACTTGAGCTATCATCATTACTCCATCCGCAGCCCCATTATGTATAATTACTAACATCTGCATCTACAGGTACAGTAATTACACTTGAATACAGAGACATTTTTATTTTTACCAGTTATGAAAAAAGGGCATACATCAGTAACTATACACATTTAATCAAGTTAAAAAAATAGGTATAAGGACATTTAATTGAAACCTTCAAGCTGTTTGGCAGCATTCAGTAATTTAAAATTCAGATCAGAAGATGAAAAATAGTCTCAAAAATCAGATGGAAGCCCTCTGCACTAATTTGGTGCTTGTTAATGGTAATAAAATAGTGATACCCTTGTTCAGTAGTTCAGAATACTCTTCTTTCATGTTAGACCAGAATGAGCTGAGGGATTTCCTGTCAAATTCTACGTTAAGTGAAGAATCCGCTTTCAGTTCAATCATTTTAACTTTATCTTAGACTGAAATATGCAGACTGGAAATATTTTTCAGTAGTCATCTGTTCCACATTTGGGGAATTATTTCTTGAAAGTTGCCTTAAATCCATTCAGATGTATTATCTCAGATTTTTTGCAGAAATAAAATTTTATTACAGAAAACAATGCGTAATTGCCTGCCCTCTTTGTGTAAGTTTTCTTGAAATATACCTATCATTGCGTGTCAGCCAGTGATCCTATCCCTTTTGACTGTACTGCAGATAAAATAAATACCTAAAATAAATTTAAAACATTCATATCTTTCTAAATTAAAATGATTTTGGATTCAGTTTAAATATTTTGATTTTTCATAATGAAATATAATTTTGTACGGCAGATAAATAAATACTTAAACGAAATTTAAAACATTCACGTGTTTCTAAAGTTATTTTGGATTCAATTTAATTATTTTGATTTTTTATAATGAAGTATAATTTGAATTGGAAATGCCAGTTGTTACAGCAGATTTTTATAATTTCTCATCCATCATTATTGATCTATCTATCATTGATCACCAATGCATCTTTTTCTTGTTTGTGCCTTGAGACCATTTCACGTACCCCTGGGGAATGTGTATAGAAGTGTAATTTCAGAAAAAGTTTGATTTTGTGTCAAAATACTTATATCAAAACAATGCTATATTTATAAATCTAATATACAAGGTGGTTAAAATTAAAACACCCCCTACTCTGAGCTCTCTATGCATCGAACTACTGAGTGTAAAGGCCCCAAAATTGCTAACATATGATTCAAGACATGGGAAACGGATTATGTGAAAAAAATTAGTTCCCGAAACACTGATAGGTGTCACTGCACAACAGAACATATGCTGAAAAGGTGCAAAATATACTTTATGACACATTTTGTTCAAACGAACCAAACATTCATATCACAAAGACTCTTTCAGATTCTTCACACTTTCGGATTTTTTATTTATTATTTTTAAAAAAAATTTCTTGCTTGAAGCCTGCATGTATAAATTTCATATTGGAAATGTGTAATAATTTTTGTGGAGAAAAATATACTTTATTTGAAAAGGATAAAATACATATATCTCTAATATTTGAAAAGGATAAATATAAGTTTATTGTCAGAAGAAAGGATGTACAAACCATTCTAACATTAAAAAAAATAAGTGCAGATTCTGGTCTCGACTAAATTGAATAACATCTCAACAGAAGCATGTGCTATGCACTGACAATTAGTTATAATAATAAATGGATTTAAACAAGACCAGAAATTTTTAAGTTATTTTAAAAATGAAAAGGGAGGATAGTGAATTTATTACCATTTCTTCGTAACTGAAATTTTTGAAACTTAAGCTTTTGCTTAAATTATTGAGAAATTTGAAATATCTGAGTTCATATTAAGGAAAGTTCTCTGTGTGTAATATTAATTACAGATAAAAATGTTTGCTTTAAATAATCCTGTTTTCTAACATATGTGATATGCTTAAATTTATTTGCAAGAATGAAGTATATTCAAGTTCTGTGTAATGAGGCAGTAAAAGTACATTAAGGATATAAAACTTCTGTATTTTTAATAAGAGAAAAGTTGCTATTGATGTGAAATTAAGAGTATAATATGCCAGATATGTAACAGAATAAATTAAAAATTATGGGCCAATAATTTAAACTAGCACAAGATTCTCATCGGATTTTCTAGAAGTATTCATAAAAATGGAATTTCTTCATATGAAAAAAATAATGTAAAATTGACACTTCTTAAAGTGAAAATTAATTTTGCAGTGAATTGTTGTATGTACTATTATAAAGCACGTTTTTTCATTTCCCATTTATGCAAATAATTCAGAAGTATTGGAAATATATAACTAAAATCATAAAGCTCATTTACATTGATTTTTATGAATGTTTAGCAGTTTTGGAAGATGATTAGATTTTCAGAATTTCATCTATTTTTCAAATTAGTTTTATTTGAATGCTGAATTTTTATAGAGTAATTAATTCTGCTGCTTCAGTTTATTTCTGTAATCTTTTTAGAGTGCTCTGACTAGTTTAGAAGACATGAAACAAGGACGTGAAGTTTCGGCTGATAGAGTTCATCGTGAAAGAAGTCGTTATGGTGCAGCTCACCAGAGTCGTCGGCTTGCTTTTGAAAACAAAAGGGTTTGTATTTTAATCTCGAGATTTTATTTGGTTCCCCCCCTTAAAACTTTTTAAATAATCAAAAGTTTTTATTATTTTTTATTTTTATATTATTTATTTATTTATTTTTTTTATGAAGGAAAGGAAAATTGTATGATTATATTTCTTTTCAACAGTATTTTATAGTTAAAATCATCTTCTCTTTACAAAATTCTGCAGAATTTTGAATGAATCGTTTATAAACAAAAAATTAAATTTAAATATATCTATTTAGTAAAAAATGATTGATGTGATTTTGGAGGCTACATTCAAGTTTATTATTATTATTTATTTCTAATTTTATTCAAATCATTAATTAATTTAATAATTTAACTGATTCTAATAAACAGCTGAGAATTGTTGCTAACTCTGGCATCTTGACTGTTTAAAATACATTCTCATTTCTGCAGATGAGAATGTAGAAAAGTCAAAGATGTTTGACAATTCTGAAGGCTCATGATTCTTATTTTCAAATGCTGTGTTAGTTATTTAAAAAGTGTATGTAGTTTGTGTTTGTGACGATGTTCAATGTTTGGATTGATTTCTCGATCTTCTCCTCTGGATTAAAGAAGGATGTTACACTTGCTTTATAAGTTGCTCTTGGAAATGACAAAATTCATGTATTTGAATAAGGTATTAATTACTGTCTACAAGTCATGATATTGGATTTTATATCTGTGACTAAAGTGAGTAAGTATATCTGCCCTTATTTAACTAGAAATGTTTGACTCACATAATTTGGAGTACTTTTTAAGTGAGTAAAGCACAGTCATCGCTCCATACATGCATTTTTAATTATATATAGCTTACTGTATTCAAAATGTTTGTGAAAATTAAAGAAATGAATGATTCTTAAATTTCAGGGCATGCTTCATACAAGATAACGAGAAATAGTTGCTCAACCACTCTCAAAACAAATATTTTCTAATCCTGTCTAAAATATAAATATGCATGAATGATCTGAGCTGCTGGTTTATTCTTTTTACAGTGCAGCGTAGTGTATATCACACTGCATTCTTTTTTTATGTTATCCTTTATTTAATATTTGTGATGTTTTGCTGTGCATAATTTATCAGTTAAAATTTGGCATATACCTATACAGAGTTGCCAACTCTCCCGATTTAGGCAGGAGACTCCCGATTTTGGACCGCTCTCCCGCCAAACCGATTTACAATATAGTATTTCTCCTGATATTTTCTTATTCTTAAAATTTCTCATTTTTATGGAACTTGGCTTAATACTTTGTTATATGAACAAAAAAAAAAAAAGTTATTTTGGACGTCTGAAAGCAATTGAATTTTCTCTAGATTATATCTAAAACAAAACCGTGCGAATCAGATGAGAACTTCTGCTTTGTGAGTGAGAGCATATATGTATCCAAAAACGTCGCTCTCCAGTTCTCTAATGGGCATCAAGCTCCACTGTGTGTCGTCTGGCATATATTAGCCAATGAGCACGAAGCAAGCTGTTATTTGGATGTTCTTTAGTTATTTCGTTCATCTCGTCCTGAGTTGTGTGAGTACACATGCCTTCGGGAAATAGTTTTAGAAATTATCAGCTTTTGTTATGTCTGCAAGGAAGGTAAAATACTCATGCACATTTCAAAACTCGTACACAGTTGACTTTCCTTCCATTATTTCCTGAAGGAAATGTAATAAATTTGCGATGTGTACCATCTGTCGTTGTGATTTTTCAATTTCGCATGGTGGAAGGGTGGATGTTCTCAAACATGTGCGTACACAAAGCACAAGGACAGCATGAGTTGTTTTGAAAAAAACAAAAAATTAAATTTTTCTTCGGAAACAAAGGACTAAAAAGTTATTAATGCAGAATGTCTGTTCTCTGCCTTTTACTGAAACGCAACCTGCCACTGAATGCATCGGATCACGCTGCAGCTTTATCTAGAACAATATTTCCCGATAGTGAGATCACTAAGAAATACTCAAGTGCAAGAACCAAAACAGGTGCAATTGTTAAAGAAATGGGTTTGAAAAATAAATCTTTGGTTATTGATTGCATTAAAACAGCATGGAACCAATAATACTGATTCAATTGTTGTTTCTTTTTTTAATCCTTCAGAAATTGAGTGCAGTTTACTTTCTGTCCCCACTTTAGAAGGATATTTGACAGGCTTTAATATAGTTAATTATTAAAACTTTAAAAGAAAATGCAGTCCTTCTGGATAATTGCTTAGCATTGGTGCCGATAATGCACCAGTATTTGTAGGACTTGAAGAATGGCGTTGCAGGCATCTTAAGAAAAGAAAATTCAGATTTGCAGATTATGAGGTGCACCTGTCACCTCTTAAATTTAGCAGCTGAAAAAGGGGCAGCTTCATTACCAATAAATGTGGATGAATGCATTGTTAATATTGTTATTATCTTGGAAGGAGTTCTAAAAGGAAGGAAAAATTGAAACAGTTCCAACAGCTGTATAACAGCAGTTTACAAATAGAAAACTTGGATGAAGTTATAAAATCAGCTAGGATTGACACCTAGTGGAGTTTCATTGGAAGACTGAAAGGTGCTGATGGAATTTTAAAATATAGTGAACTGTCTAGAATTATGTTGGCCATCTTGACAGTTCCCCATAGTAATGCAGAGTGTGAGAGGATTTTCAGTGTTGTTGCAAAAACTAGGACTAAATTAAAATTTAATATTAATGAAGACACATTAGAAAAACTTTTTTTTAGCGAAAGCAGGCCTACGTGGCAATTGCTATGAACAAAAATATGAAGTTTCTTTCTTAACGAAATCAAAATCTGCCACTGTTTTAAAAATAATTCCTTGAATTATTTTTAATAATGAAGTAAATTAAAGATATTACATCAGAAATATAATTGCAAAACTGAGGTACCAGGACTTTTTTTAGTAATTTTAAAATTTTGTTTGAAAATAGTTAAAAAAAGAATAATTTTGTAAGATAAGAGGCGTCTTTGTAGATGAAAGTGAGTATGTCAAAAATTACTTTGCGAGGAACCTGCATTTCCATTTATATAGGAAGAGAAGGTTTAACTTTAAAATAATTGTTTTTTAAATTGCTTATTAACCAACTTGCACTATGACTAAACTTCACGGTTCCGGTGCTGTGTGCTGCAATATAAAAAGCGGTAAAGTGTCTCATTTATGCCGCTCCGTGTCTGCGAGTGCAATCCAGAGCTGTAACTCGAGAAATAAAACAATCTCGTTGTTAGGCGACGTGCACCACGTTATTTTCATTTTTGCGATAAATGCCTATGCACGTGATGTTCACATTGCTCGCAGTTTGAGACAAAAGCATCTTGACATGCGTGGCACGTCTTTTTAGCACAAGTGGTTAAATGTAATGCTCATGACATTATGGAAGATTAGGATTATACCAAAAATTACTTCTAATTTAGTGCAGCTTTTACTATTAGTGTGAAAACAAATTATGCATGTTGTAGCTAAAGCAAATTGGACATGTCTTCATGAATGTTTAATTGCTTTTGATGGTAATTAATATCAGCGAAAGAACTTTTTGGCAATTTTATCTATCTACCTACCTACCTATATATTATATATTTAAGGATATAAACTGCTTTTTTTTAGAAAAATAATTTCAAACAAAAAATACCATAATTTGTGTTTAAATTGAATGACGATTAAAATATGATTTTTTTACAGATTGATGTTTCACCGTATAATTCTTCATATCTTTCTCCACCACCAGACACTAATTGGAGGAGGTGCGTTCATTACTCTTTCCTTCCCCTCCAAAATAGATGTTAACTTTAGTATATTACTGTTAATTTGCATATATTATTCAAATAAATTTTATTTATAATTAGACACACAGCTGTTTTACTGATCAATGTATAGGGACACATAAAAATACAAATTTTTATGCATCTTGAAATGCTTTGTACTAGGAAAGTATGATATACGAGGGTTGGAACTTTAATAGTGGCAACGCAGCTGAAAAAACGCTATGTAACAAAACCAAAGAATATCGTGTATACCACATGTAAACTACATATCTACCTTACCTCTCAGCAAAAAGACTCATCCTGCCTACATCACGCGCATGCGGAGTGACGCGAAGAACGGATCCTTGTATTAGCTCGCTGTCTAAAGTAAGTGTTGTCAGGATGTTTTCAAAACAAGAACAACGATGTTGGATAAAAATTGAATGTGCCAGAGGTTGTACAGCACAACAGTGTCATCAAGGGCTTCAAGAGGCTTGCGAGGAATCTGCATTGCCTTACAGAACCGTAGCAAGATGGGTGAAAGCATTCAATGAAGGACGCCAAAACGTGGCAGACATGCTGCGGCCAGGTCGTCCGAGTGTCAGCGATGCAGGTGTGCAAGCTGTTGCCGCACTAATGGACAGTGATCGCCGCCAAACGATTCGTCAGCTGGCCGGACAAACAGGATTAGCGCATACGACTGTGCTGCACATTCTGAAGGAACGCCTGTCCATGAGAAAAATTGCTTCACGATGGGTTCCACATCAATTGACGGAAATGCAGAAATGGCTACGATACGATGCTGCCCGAACCCACCTGGAGCGCTATGAGCGCGAAGGAGATGCTTTTTTATGCCGTATCATTACGCTGGATGAGACTTGGGCCCGATCGTACCAGCCAGAACTGAAACGCCAATCAAACGAATGGCGTCATCACGGGTCACCACGACGTTCGAAATTTCGTCAGAACCCCAGCAATGTGAAAGTTATGGTGATTCTCGTGTACGACTGTGATGGTGTCATCCTAACGCATACCGTTCCCCCACAGCAGACCGTCACTGCGCAGTATTACTGCTCATTTTTGGAGCACAATCTCCGACCAGCTTTGAGAAAAAAAACGGCGACACTTTCTGCAGAACGCTCCTCTCATTTTGCATGACAATGCTCGGCCGCATGCAGCGCAAGCTGTGACTGATTTGTTCAAGCGATGGGGCTGGGAAGTGCTTTACCATCCACCATACTCCCCAGATCTAAGCCCTTGTGACTATGACTTAATTCCTAAGATGAAGGAACCACTTCGTGGCACTCGCTTCCCAACTGTTCCTGAGATTCTTGCGGCAGTAGACCGGTCCATTCAAACTATCAACAAAACAGGCGCTGCTACAGGTATTCTGCGACTTCCACATCGTTGGAAACGGGTTGTACACAATGCTGGCGACTATATTGAAGGACTGTAAAACGTGACATGAATCACTTTTGTATTCCTTGTAAATAAATAGTTGCCACTATTAAAGTTCCAACCCTCGTAGATGTATGTGCCATACCTTTAGTTAAATGCATTTTAACCTTAGAGTGACTAGAGAAGTACTGTATGCATTTTGTGAATTGTATTTGAGTCTTTGCAAATAGGGCAAAATCAGAATTTGATATATATGTCTTTTCTTAAAAAAGTAAAAATAAAATGTGGAATATTTTTGCTTCTTCAAGAGAACTGAGTATCATAGCAGATTGTTTTTAGATCTATTCTGTAAAGTTTACATTGTTTTGAGCTGGGACATCCCCTAATTTCAAAGGTATGGTGCATCTTGTGCAACTGTTATATATTTTTAGAGCTTATATAAAATTGTCTTTAAATTTTGTGAAATGATATATTTTCTATTCAGAATCATAAACTGTGATTAAATCTTTATTCTTGCCCTTACCCAAATTTAAAAAATGTAAATATAAGGAAAATGTATTTTAATGTGATTATTCAAATGTTAACATTGTCTTGTTGTATGATCTTTTGAACACATTCAAAGATGTGCTTATTGACATAGTAAAATAAATTTTGTTTTTAAGGTACATGTTTATAAATTTTTTATGGAAATTAATATGTTTTATATTAATGTTAAACAGGTTCTTTGGAAATAATTATAAATTAGAACTGTATATTTTAGAGCTTCATGCATACCTAATTTAAAAATTTAAATTTCATGAACTGCATATACACTGAAGTGACAAAAATCATGGGATAGCAATATGCAAATATACAGATGGCAGTAGTATCGCGTAGAAAATGTATAAATGTGAAGTGCTTTGGCAGGGCTTCATTTGTGTTCAAGTTATTCATGTGAAGAGGCTTTGACGTGATTATGGCTGCACGACAAGAATTAACAGACTTTGAACGTGGAATGGTAGTTGGAGCTAGACGCATGGGTCATTCCATTTCGGATATCATTAGGGAATTCAACATTCCGAGTTCCGCAGTGTCAAGAGTGTGCCGAGAGTATCTAATTTCAGGCATAACATCCCACCATGGACAGCGCAGTGGCCGACCACCTGCACTTAACGACCGAGACCAGCGATGTCTGCGTAGAGTTGTCAGTGTTCACAGACAAGCAACACTGCGCCAAATAAGCACAGAAATCAATGTGGGACGTACGAGGACGTGTCCGATAGGACAGTGCGGCGAAATTTGTCTTCCTTGGGCTATGCCAGCAGAAGACCGACTCGAGTGCTTTACTGACAGCACGACATCGCCTGCAGCGACTCTCGTGGGCTCGTGATCATATCGGTTGGGCCCTAAACGAATGGAAAACCGTGGCTTGGTCAGATGAGTCACGATTTTAGTTGGTAAGAGCTGATGGTAGGGTTCGAGTGTGGTGCAGACTCCATGAGGCCATGGACCCAAGTTGTCAACAAGGCACTGTTCAAGCTGGTGGTGGTTCCATAAGGGTCTGGGCTGTGTTTTTACATGGCATGGCCTCGGTCCTCTGGTGCAACTGAACCGATCATTGACTGGAAATGGATACCTTCAGCTACTTGGAGATCACTTACAGCCATTCATGGACTTCACGTACTCAAACAACGATGGGATTTTTATGGATGACAATGCGCCATGTCACTGGGCCACAATTGTTCACGATTGGTTAGAAGAACATTCTGGACAATTCCAGCGAATGATCTGGCCACCTAGATCGCCCGGCATGAATCACATCGAACATTTATGGGACATCATCAAGACGTCAGTTCGTGCCGAAAACGCTGCACCATCAACATTTTCACAATTATGGACGTCTATAGAGGCAGCATGGCTCAATATTCCTGCAGGGGACTTCCAACGACTTGTTGAGTCCATGCCACGTCGAGTTGCTGCACTTTGCCGGGCAAAAGGAGGACCTGCAAAATATTAAGAGGTATCCCATGACTTTTGTCACTTCAGTGTATAACTGAAAAAAATATCCAAAATCAAGTTATTTATTTTAAGCAAGAAAATTTAAAAGTAATATTTCTTTGCCTGAAAAATTTTGGTAGTTCTTAAATTCATAAAAAAATTTGTATATTTTTTTTTTTTTTTTTTTTTTTTTTTTTTTTTTTTTGTTGTTGTTCAAGTACTTTTGAAATAGTTTTCTATCAGCATTAAATTACAAGTTCTTTGGATAATTAAAAATTATAGTTCTGAATATTATGCTAAATCATTTTGTCAGATATACGAATGTTAGTTTAACAAACTGAAGAATGGTAGTTGTTATATGCAGGACTTTGTACGATGTAAAATATGTGTAAAGTAAAAAGAATTATTATGTAGTAAAAAAGGTATTTGTGTTTCTGTATGCTTTCATAATTAAAACATAAAATGATTTAAATTAAAAAAATATTTGAATCCAAAAGAATAGTGCAGTTCAAATTTGCTAAACTAATTTCATGCTAAGTAATTGAGTATTGTTTTAATGTATTAAATTATTCATTACTTCCTAATTTATTAATGACTTTTTGAAAACTCATTGATATTTGAAAATATAACCACTTTTAAGTAAGTATTAGTTTTTAATTAAAATTTAATTTAAAATTAATTTTTCTTTTTTTCTTTTCTTTTCTTTTTTTTTTTTTTTTTTTTTTATCTTCCAGGACAAATTCTGATTCTGCCCTTCACCAAAGTGCTATGAACCCCCAAGAAAATTTTCATGGTGCCAAGACACCCCCCAATAACAGGACATTTGGTATTTTTATTGTAATAAATTCTTGTTTGTAGGTCATTAAGATGACACAATAAATTTGGTATAAAAAGTAAAAACTGAATTATTCTGCCCAAAATTATGTAATACCTGACATTAGAAACATCGTCTATTCATTAGCCCCTTCCTTCTCGCTCCTGTCAAAATGATGGGGTGAGGTTTTGCTCTCTATTTCTTGTGCCCATGATATTTCCGGGCTGGAGTGTTCAGAAGTAATGTGTCAAAAAGATTAAAACCATTTAATTTCTTTTGCCCAGGAATAGTTTTATCAGATGGAAGAACCAGAATAATAATTTTTTATGCAATTCAAGATAGTTAGTTTATTTTAAACTAGATTTCAGCTCTAATTAAACATGTGTATTTATGATATGTATTTTGTAATCTTAGCATTAGCCCAATTACTTACTTAGTCTGTTTGTGAATATATATGGTTTCTGTTCTGTGATAAAATATATTTTTTAATATTCTGTACATTATGAAGTCAGAATTAGAAAGTGAATCGGATTCTAATTTTAGTATAAACGGATCTGAGTGTGATTTTGATGTAACTGATTTTTATGAAAGTTCGGAGAGTAAATCTGAGAGCAGTGATGATGGATGTATACTGTTGCCTGGATGAGTATGGCCTAAAATTGTATCAACTTCAATAGATCATTCACTCCCACATTTAAAAATTTTGAGAACACCAAAGATAAACACAAATTTTGATCTAAGTTCTGGTATTTTGCAATATTTTGAGTATTTTGTAAATGACAATTTAGTGCATCCCATATTTTTGGAAACAAATAGATATGCTGAACAATGCCAAAATTCTCCAGGATTCCACCTATCCAAAAATAGAAAACTTTGGATACCTGACATAAAGGAAGAAATTCTTAAATTTCTCAGTATAGTTATTTTACAAGGTATTGTAAGAAAATCAGATACAAAAATGTATTGGAGCAAAAAACATTCAATTTCAATACACCCCTTTTTTTCAGAAGCGTAATGCCTTGTAATAGACTTTATGAAATACATAAGTTTCAATATTTTGTAGATAATTAAACTTTAGATTGTAACATTTATCCAAATCCCAAACTGTCTAAAATCTGGTCAGTGTTAGAATATCTGAATTAATTGTTTCAAAGAGCTGTAACTCCTGGATGTGGTTTTATAAGTGATAAAAACCTCATGCTCTTCAAATGTCAATTAGAATGGTGACAGTATATGCCAAAGAAGAGTTTCTGTTTTGGAGTAAAAGCATATTTGTTATGTGAATCAAGTTCAAGGTATATGTGGTCACAAATTTATGTATACTGGAAAAGGTATAGTTTTTAATGCAAAATATAAAGATCTGCTCTAATCAATTCAAGTTGTGATGCCACTTATCAAGCCATTGCTAAAACAAGAATATTGTATGATAACATATAATTTTTATATCTCACCAAAACTGAGAAACATGCTTTTAAAATTTTTGAAACTAAACCCAAAAGAAATGCTTTAAGAACTGGTAAAAAAGAAAATCATAAAAGGTGAAAATGTTGCATTTCCTCAAGGTAAAGTTCTTGCCATGCAGTGGAGGGATAAGAAAAATGTTACCATGCTATCTACAGTCCATGCAAATGCCACGGTAGATGTACAATGTCATAACAAAGTTGTCAAAAAATCTGCAGGTTTACAATAAAAATATGGGAGCAGTAGATATTGTAGAACAATATATCTTGAAGATTACTGTATTGATCAAAAAGAAGGAAAGAAATATTATGAGAAAGTATTTTTTCATTTGTTAGATCAAACTGTTTTGAACTCATTTCTTATTTACAAAAAAAAAAAAAAAAAAAACAGGGTGGGGGGAAAAAATGTCAATTGATGGTTCGTTTATCTTTAGTAGATGAACTTATTGAAATGTATCAGTCATCAGACACCATGTCAAAAGGAGGCTATCCAAGCTTGGAGGGTAATCTCAATTGTTTGATTGAAAGGCATTTTATTAAACAGATAGCCCCAACTGATAAGAAACGGTAACCTTTAAGATACTGCAAAGTTTGTTGTTCCAGAAGAGATGAAAACATTAAGAGATGTAGGAAGGAAACTCAATACTACTGTCCAGATTGTGACATTGGCCTTTGCATCTCATGTGACATCTTTGCATCACACAAGAAAAAATAACTAATCCTTATTTATATTATGCCTACGTTTAATAAAATTCTCTTTTACTGTTTAAAATGCATACTTCTTAAATTTCCCCACTGTACTGGAAAACTTATATATAGTCGTAATAACCCTGAATGTTGGCTTTTCCTAAAAAAATTATTTTTAAATTTCAGACTAAAAAAAATCCAGAAATTAAAAATGAATACATATATTTTGCGTACACTTATTTTTATATAATTTTCTTGAATAAAAAATTAGGCACTCGTATGACCATTTTCTTGATTATTGAAAATTATCTGATCATTGAGGGACTAAAGTAATGTTGCAACTGTTTAAAATGACAAATTTGATTATAAATAAAGTATATTGTAAATCATATCAATTAGGTTATTATTAAAATGAAGACTTATAATTATCGGGTATCACAAGTGTGGCCGATCCTTAAGGGACATATCTAGCGATCTGAAGTACCCAATATCGACAGTGGCCTATGTGATTAAGAATTGGAAGGTGAGGGGTGATTGTCGGAATGTGCCCTGAGTCAGCAGACCAACGAAACTGGGGGATAGAGACCGACGAGTGCTGTTCAGAGAAATTCGGAAGAACCGCACCCAACTGATAGCCCTCATCCGCGAGGATTTTCAACAGGCATCCGGGAATATTGTTTCAATGAATTCCATCCATAAGGAAGCACATCTGCTTGGTTTTCATGGTCGTGCTGCTGCCCATAAGCCTTTGATCACAAAAGTCCAACCACGCTGCTCGATTAATGTGGTGCAAAGCACATCGAAATTGGACCGTAGATCAGTGGAAACGGGTTCTTTGGAGTGACGAATCAAGGTTCACCCTTTACCATTCGAATGGCAGGGTCTGGGTCTGACGTCCTACCTGGAGAGCGTCTCCTGCCAGAATGCATTGTGCCAAGAGTCAAGTTCGGCGAAGGTGGAATTATGGTCTGGGGGTGTTTCTCCTGGTATGGGCTGGGATTAGTATGGTATCCTGGTATGGGCTGGCTCCTGGTATGAGTGCATGTATTATTTTTAAATTGCTCAGTTTGTTAAGCAGTTATAATTTGAAAGAAAACTTCCGAGATTTATATAGATTAAATAGAACTGTCTATTTGCCTGCCCATGGGGAAGACAAATTAAATGTACTGTATTTAATTTGGCAACACTTTTCATGTTGTGTGGATGCTAAATGCATTGTACTATAATAAAACAAAGAAAGTTTGGAGCCAACATTGCGTGCGACAATTCTAATGTCAATGCATTATATTGTATTATATATGTGTTATGTTGTCGATGTATAATGTATTATGTTGAAAGGTTTTCAGAGGAGTAGAAAATGTACTATAGAATTAAAGTGATTCAGGTATATTAGAAACGATCCTCAAAATTTAATCGTAAAATCACTCAGGCCTTTGTTTACAAATATTAATTCCTACATTGAGTTGTGCTTATTTGTGCTACACTGGCTACCAATAAGTATTTGGACACCTGTGCTAGAAAAGAAAAACTTAACTTTATTCAAAATCAATAGTTGGTAGAGCCTCCACGAGAGGTATTTACAGTGTGGACCCTCTGGGGCATACTTTATATAAGTCTTTGTATGGCAGCTAGTGGTATTTTCTTCCACTCGGCTTGGAGAAGACATAGAAGTTCCTTCACTGATTTTGCAAGGGTCATGCACCCCTGAATTCGGCGATGCAACTCGTCCCAGAGGTTCTCGATAGGGTTCAGGTCAGGACTCTGGGCAAGCCAGTCCATTCGATGAACTCCATTGGCACCAAACCAAGCCTTGGTTAACGTCGAAACATGACAACTGGCATTGTCATCCTGAAAGTAACAGGGGTCCAACCCGTAAAACTGCCACAACGTAGGAAGCACATTGTCATCCAAAATAGTGGAGTAGGCATCGGAGTTGAGCTTACCATGTATGGGGACCAAGGGTCCCAGCCCATACCAGGAGAAACACCCCCAGACCATAATTCCACCTTCGCCGAACTTGACTGTTGGCACAATGCATTCTGGCAGGAGATGCTCTCCAGGTAGGACGCCAGACCCAGACCCTGCCATTCGAATGGTAAAGGGTGAACCTTGATTCGTCACTCCAAAGAACCCGTTTCCACTGATCTACGGTCCAATTTCGATGTGCTTTGCACCACATTAACCGAGCAGCGTGGTTGGACTCTGTGATCAAAGGCTTATGGGCAGCAGCACGACCATGAAAACCAAGCAGATGTGCTTCCTTATGGATGGAATTCATTGAAACAATATTCCCAGATGCCTGTTGAAAATCCTCGCGGATGAGGGCTATCAGTTGGGTGCGGTTCTTCCGAATTTCTCTGAACAGCACTCGTCGGTCTCTATCCCCCACTTTCGTTGGTCTGCTGACTCGGGGCACATTCCGACAATCACCCCTCACCTTCCAATTCTTAATCACATAAGGCCACCGAGAAATTTAAAAATTTCGATATTGGGTACTTCAGATCGCTAGATATGTCCCTTAAGGATCGGCCACACTTGTGATACCCGATAATTATACCTTTCTCGAAATCAGAGAGCTCCGAACTGCGAGGCATCTTGCATGCGACTAAAGCCGATGCTGTTTCCTACACGATATATACCGGCGGAGTCCGTGGCGTACCTTGGGACCGCAGATATTGTCATTTGCATAGGTGTTCAAATACTTATTGGTAGTCAGTGTATTGACAAATGTCTTAAATCGAAATATATATAGGTAATAGTTTAACATCCAGTATTCGCAATGGTTGAGGGTGAAGGCATGATGACGCAGCTAACAAAACTGAGCTTGAAGTATCGCAAATCTTTATTTTCACGCATATCAAATCATAATAATTTTGGTAGACAAGGTATTTATCTAATCATAGTTAAATATGATAACTTTTATGTACACTGGTTTGAAAGTGCAACATAAGCATCTTAGACTGGAAAGCGTAGCAGCACGGATATGTTTGCATGGCAGAAGTTAGGAAAAGGAATGATGTAATTGCTCGTGAAGCACTATTTATATTACGTAGGTGCATAAGTACAGCTAAACTGCAATTGGTTAATTTTAGGTTTTAGATTCCTTTTTCAAGCAGCTTTATGTAACGGGGAAAGATATCGAATTTGGGAGAACAGATGAACTTAGGAGGAGAACATAAAACCTAGAATAGTCAATTTTCAGGTTACCAATCATTTCTTAGTGTAACCATAATATTTTATTATATCTTACACATACACACACACAAACACATATGGTTTATAACTGCATGAAAAATCAGTAAATTACTTTTTGAAGATGAAATTAAATTTGCATATGATATTACAGAGGGCAGTTTGTATAAGTCATATTTGTGGTGTTATAATTTTGTTATGGTGCAAATTTTAATAAATTTTTCAAGGTTCTGCATGTGCTAAATTTTACTGGGTTTATCAAAAGGATCCACTAATTTCAGTTTTTTGGATATTAGAAATGTTTATAGTGGTGTCCTTTCAATTTTTTGGCTATTATGCAATGCTATACAACATGGCATCTATAGTTCCCATATCAAATATTGCTATTTGGACACCTAAGATCTTTATCTTCTGTATAGCCTGGTAAATAGCCATCTCTTAAGAGTGTTACAATTCTTCCGTTCAGCATTCCATAAGGTGGGTAATTTTTGTGACAAATTATAACAATAGTAACGTAACCCTTTCAAGGTGGCATGCCTTTGTTTAAGACATTTCCTGAGGATAGATGGAAGTTGAAAAGATTCGTCCCGCAGAACACGGTTTTGCGTAAAGTGTAACTGAAGTCCTAATATCATAATTTTTGGTATCATTTGAGATTATTACATCAGCTATCATATGCATTAAAATTAGCATATAATAATCTTTTTTCTTTACTTTACACGAAAATATAAAAGGAAAATTTCTTACTTTGAGAAATAATTTTCGGAAGCGCTATTCAAATTGTTCTGAAAATACATTAAGGAACTTAAAATTAATTAAAAAAATATACAAGAAAGACTAGTTATAAGAAGTAACAGAATCTTTCATGGGAAGTGGAAGGCAGGTCCTCAGGGAGTTCACTCTCTTACAAAATGTCCACAAAAGAATCACTGAAATACAACTTTCTAGAAAATGAATCATCACTTCTCATCCATGTTTACTAATTGGCTCATTTACCATACTAGTATGAACATAAGTTTTTGCTACTTTTACATAATGCTTTCTGCATAATTTTTTAATTTCTTCTTAATTTTACTTCTTCTTAATTCAGTTTGTTCTTTTCTGTATAAATATGTTTGCCGAAAATGTCTTTCTGTTTCTTCTTCTTCAAGTTTAAGACTGGTTTATATTGGTTATTGCATATATATAATTTTTTTTAAATAGAAGTTGATGGAGTTGTACTAAATGAAAATGATCAAGTTCATAATTACTGGGATCCAAAGAAAGTAAGTCACCTTTGATAAGTATAAAGGCTAATATTACATTATTATGGATGGTTTTTAAAAAATATTAGATTTTTAATGAACCGCCCAGATAGGAAGGTGGTTAGTGGCTCTGACTGCCGTACGGAAACGGCCCAGGTTCAAATCTCATAGAAGGCATGGATGTAAATTGTCTGTCCTTTCATAGGAGGCAACAGTGACCCATGCCTTCATAATATAATAACGTGATCATCGCTTCTAGCTTTAATAGTGGCCAATGTCTATGATAACTTGGAGGGGGGAGAAGAATTTTTAATGATATGATAATTTTTATTAAGTTTCATACATAATTTTGTTCTTGAAAGTATTATTGCTTTGTAATGACAATCCTTTCTTATGTTATACATGAGAACAGATTTTGTTCAGCTTAATTGTTATATCATCTGATGACACGTTTGCCTCTTTGATAAATTTCAAATATTCGCTATAATGAACCCTTAAGCCTTAAGAAATAATTCTTTGCTGATTGCTGTTGACTTTGAAATTTTTAAGATCGCTAATTATAAACATTAAATGGTTATCATTACAGATTAGATAGTTTTAATTTATCTTTTTAGATATATTTAAATAGAAAAGATTTAATGCATTCATTTAGTCAGAACTTTGCTGTAAGGAGTACTTAATTTTTTAGCAATTCTTACGAAGGACCTATCGTCTTCTGATGATGTGTAGAAAATATTTATGTAGTCTTTCTAAATGCATACTGTTTTATACATTGGAAGCCTTGAGTGAGCTTAGCTGACATTTAATATTTTATAATTATGCTTACGTTCATTGAACTGCTCTGCATTTTAATTTTCTGTAGAAATAGGTAACTGCAGGTAAGTGTTTAATCTTTCTAAACAATAACTTCTGGACAAAAAATTTAAAAAACATGTTTAGCTATGCCTACCTTTTTATGTTGTTGAAAAGAAATGCAAATCTGTGTTTTTCATTTGCCAAACACTGAAAACAGGAACTATGAATGAAGTGTTTTTCATTTACCAAATACTAAAGATGAATTGGTGTTTTTTTCTTCTCAAACTGGTAAATGTGAATGGCTTATTCAGTTTTCAGGCATTTTTATATGCAAAAAATTATTTCATGTGTATGTAAAACCATTGTTGTTTGAGTAATAATCATTTAGTTGATTTAGTGTTATAATGTAGCTGCATTTTTGAATAGCACTGGGTAACAATTTGTAAGATAATTTCTGTTGATCTGATTTTGAGCTGTTTAAGAGTTAAATAATCATGCTGTTTTCAAAACTGTAGTTAGTTTTCTCCTGTCATGTGTCAGACTAAATTAGACAAGGGTCCTGCTTTGTATATATATATATATATGTATTTAGAAAATCATAGGCTTGTTCCTTGGAGATGATTTCTTTCAAGTATTGTGAGAAAATTTATATTATTAAAATAGCACAAATGGATCAAAAGTAGAATAATAAAATGTAGATGTAAGCTTAAAAGAAATTAAAAAAAAAATTTTTTTTTGAGTACTATTTTTTTATGTGTTTAAGAAAAGGATTTTATTGTTTAAAAAAAGGAAATCATATTGATGATTTTTAGTCTGCTGATACCTTTTTCCAAATACCAGATTTTATAAAAATAATGGGCCAGAACAGTTTCGTCAGAATTTGAAGTCCCTACATTTTAGATGAGTTACAAAATATAGATAGATTCAAATGGATCAACAGGTAGACTTATATAGTTGTAGTAGATTATTTTTTTAAACATTAAAAAATTCATGTAGCATGGAAATTTAAATAAGAAATATTACTAGATGAGGTTATGATTTTTTAGGCCAAGATTAAAAATCCAAAACACTAATTTTTTTTAAAGAATAATTTTATAAAAATAAAATAAATTATGAAATACAGCCTTTCTTTTAGAACAGTATGCAAAGTATAACAGAATGCATTGAAAATATTGAAATTTATGCAGAAGGGGATCTAGTGGAAACAATTTTTCATTTAATAAAAGTTACTCTTTTTATCGAGATAATTATCATAACAACAAGAAGATTGCCAAAAGAATGAAAAGAATGTAAGACTATAACAGAACCAGTGAGAAAAAAAGATTTTTCTTAGATCTAAAAATGGAAGAACACTAGACAAGATTTTATGTGTCCTTTGGTCTTGGAAGCTTAACTGGTTAATACACAGTGGCTAATTTTGGCCAAAATATGCTGTCTTTTAATTAATCTCAACAACGCAAAATAATAATATGGTCATTAAAGTATAACAAAATGATGCAGTAAAGAAGGTACTTGTTTCTGTCGATAAGTACAATAATTTTATGAAGAATGCAAGTAAAACTGATAATTATTTTTACTGTTACATTCTTTCAAAAAAATTAAATGGTCAAGTAAAATAAGTAGTTAGCATATAAGAAGCTGAATCCTACTTTAAAACTTTATACATAAAAATTTCTATGTAATAAAATTGAGCTGAGAGGTCAGGTGAAGTTCAAGCGTTGCAATAAACATTACTTCAATTCCCCTAATTGTAGCCTTTGGGGATGCTTGTCCAGTAATATGCTATGTTTGTGTTTACAGGAAATGTGTGATAAAGGATGACAAAAATATCCATTGAAAAGCAATACACTTATGTGCAAAATTAAGAGACTTTGCAGATTATGTCTATTTTTAACATAAGGTATTGAACCAAAGGTACTAATCATGCCACCGAAGAATTATGCAAATATTTGGAGTTGAATTTGTAAGCCTACATGTGTCTGTGGAGCTGTGATTATGGAGGGGATATAAGTGCATGTACTCCTTCATGACTTTGCCATGTTACGTGCAAGATTTGGGTAAATTTTGTACTATATCAGGTAAAATGAGTAGCTATGAACGTAGGGATGCTGGAATGAGATGGGATAATTATTGTAGGGATGCTGGAGGCAGGCCAATCACAAGCACAGGTGGCTACAGATTTTGATGTAACACCCAGCGTCATTTGCAGTTTGTGGAAAGAGTTACTGGGTGCTGTATCCATATTGAGAAGACTTGGACAAGATCAACCAAGATGCACGACGACAAATAAGAATCTTTATTTGGCACTTTCTGCACATTGTCACAGGACTGCTACATATCTGCTACATATCTTACAGCTTCATATCTCTCACATGAGCTGTATGCTACTTACTGAAACCTGAGTTTCACATTCTACAGTTGCCCAAAGGCTTCATGAGATAGGTTTACATGCCAGAAGACCTGCTATTTGCATCCCATTCACTTCAGCACACAAGGAACTATGTTTAGCATGATACAGACAACATGCACCTTGGATCAGACTTCAGTAAAGCACCTTGCTGTTTACAGATGAGTCAAGTTTCAGCCTGGATACTGATTTTTTTTTTGGTGCACCTATATCTGTAGAAAGTGTGGAACATTATACCATCCCTCCCTCATCAGGGGAAAGGATTATTATGGTGATGGAGATGCAATAATTTGGGCGGGCATTATATTAGTTTGCCACACACCCTTGCATGTCTTCGACAGCTGTTCCCTGATTGTTATGATGTATTGAGAGAAGATTTTAGAGCCAAATGTTGGATTTTACAGGAGCACAGTGGGTCCTGGGTTCCTGTTAATCAAGCAATTCAGTCTAAATACGGGATGAGCTGGTCAACGAACACCTGGAAAGTGAACATATTTGGCACATGGATCAACCAGCTAGGTCTTTTTAGCTTAACTGTATTGAGCGTATCTGGGACACTCTTGGGAGGGCAATTTCATTCTCGTCATCTCCCTCCAAGAACTGGCTGAAAGTTGAAAACTGCCTTTATGCAGGAATAGGATCGACTGCCACAGAGTCTTCTCAACGTGCCTCCTGTCTAGTATGTCATCACACTGCGCAGCCAGTCTGGCTGTGAGAGCAGAACCCCGTATTAGACTCATTTCCAGTTCGATATCACATGGAGTTTGGACATGCCTGCACTATGAGGTTACTAATACTCATGCTTACATAAAATGACTTTTGAATGGTGTGTCTCTTTCTAAGTTATATTTATACCAGATTTCATTAAAATCTCGCCATTGATATTTCAGAATTTCAGTGCAGATTTGCACATGTGTGTGTGTACTATGCACATGTGGAGGGGGAAATGAGATTATAAATTCTGCCTTTTTTTCTCCTTAGAAGCAGTGTTTCTATAACTACCTCGAAGAAGTGTCATTATTAGTAATTAGGAATATATAATTTTCAAGTTTACAGAACAGATGCTCATAAATATGAGAAATATATCACTGTTAGTGATTAAATGTAAAATATTGTTTATGAGCTTTTTTTGTTTGCCCCCCTCAAAGAAAAGAGAAAAAAAAAAAAAAAGACAAGATGTGGCCAAATGGCAATTCTGGAAACTTGTTTATACAGTCAAAAGTCTTTAATCCGGACACATCGGGACTTCATCGATTCCGGATTATACGAGGGTAAGTTGAAAAATAAGTTTCCCCTGTCGACTGTGGTCAGAGTTGTGTATGAAAGTCAAAAAATAGAATGAGACATTAAAGATATGACATACCTTTATTTTATTATTCTCGTACGAGTACGTTGAGACATTTGTCATATCGCTTGATAAGCTTCAAAAAGTCCTCCAAGAAAAATTCACGCTTTGCATGTGGAAGAAGCGTTGAACGGCTATGGGCGAAAGGTGACACAGCAGGAAAACGCGCAAGTCACCGATACACCATTGGGTAGAGGTCGCTGCAAATCAAGCAGATGGCGCTGTTGCAGTGCGTGCACAAAGCGGAGACCAGCCTCTCATTTGAGCCCCGGTAGGTATGGAGAGAAGGTGCGTTTTGAATTCGTGGTCAAAGGAGGAAGTGAGAGCGGTTATCCGCTATGAATGGGCACGGAGTGAACCGGCGTATCACCATCGATGAAGTAGCGGAAGAACTTGGAATCTCACATGAGCGAGCTCAAAACATCATCCACGACATTCTTCGATACAGAAAAGTGTCAGCACGATGGGTGCCCCGACAATTGACCTCGACACACAAGAAACAACGCATGGGGGTCAGCCTGGAGCATATCGTGCGTTACCATGAAGATGGCAATGGCTTTCTGTTTTGGATTGTGACGGGGGATGAAATGTGGGTCCACCATTTCACGCCAGAATCGAAGGCCGCATCTATGGAGTGGAAACATCCATCATCACCTGTCCGAAAGAAGTTCAAGACAACTCCCTCTGCAGGTAAAGTGCTCCTCACAGTTTTCTGGGACGCCCAAGGAGTTTTGTTGCTGGACGTTTTGGAGTTTGGAACCATCAATGCTACGCGCTACTGTGACACCCTGTCGAAATTGAAAGAGGCGATTCGGAAAAAGCGGCCTGGCCCTCTCACATCTGGCGTTCTGCTGTTGGATGACAATGCCAGACCACATTTGGCGACGGCAACGCAAAACCATATTGCAACACTTGGTTGGGAGTGCCTACACCATCTGCCCATACAGTCCTGATCTCGCACCAAGTGACTTCCATCTGTTTCCTGCTTTGAAAAAAAGTCTCGGGGGAAGGTGCTTTGGAAGCAATACTGAAGTGAAACAAGCCGTTCAACGCTTCTTCCATATGCAAAGCCCTGATTTTTTCCTGGAGAGCTTTTTGAAGCTTATCAAGCGATATGACAAATGTCTCAATGTACTTGGTACCTATGTGGAAAAATAAAGGTATGTCATATCTTTAATGTCTCATTCTATTTTTTGACTTTCATACACAACTCTGACCACAGTCGAAAGGGGAAACTTATTTTTTAACTTACCCTCGCAGATCATCAATTCAGAAGTCAAACAACAAAAGTCAGCGTTATATTTACGAAATTTTCACAGGACTAGTTTCGTAAATATAACACTGATTTTTGTTGTTTGTCTTCTGAATTAGTATTTATTCGGCGTGTTATTGTGTCTCAATTATAGATCATCAGTTTAAATCTGGTAAGATGGCATGCAGAAATTATACAAGTAAAAATATGAAATGGTAATTAATGAAATAAAGAGCAATTGTGTTCTAAAGGGTATCAAAATTTACAAAAAAAAAAAGCTTAATATTTATTTGTTTACTTTATTAAACATTTCTTTCAAAGCGCGCATGCGTAAAGCATACATTGTGCATAGTCGAGATTAGAAAATTGCAACCAGAAAACTATTTTATGCGTATTCGTGATATTTATAATGACGAGGAAATTGATTTAAATCATATCGGAGTACATTGAGATGAGACACTACATTTAATAAGGAGTTATAAGCCGAATAAAATAAAACATCTGCCCTGAAGATAAGGATAGTGCTGACAGATCAACTTCCAATTCATTGTGCGTCGCGACCCCCCCGCAGAGCAGCGTGAAATTGATAAACAGATTTCGGAATGGTTATAGAAACAGATCACATCTCTGTCACTTTCTTCATGTCTTTATCCATTTTTTGCAGCAATTGCATTTTTTGTTTAATGGACATCGAAACATGCTTTCGCTTTTGTAGATCCTTTGGCAGCTCCAGAATCGGAAATTATATCTGACTTAATCGAAAGTTCAAGCTTACTTTTTATGAAATTGCTCAACAGTCTGCGCAAAAAAAAAAAAAAAGCCGGATCCTATTCGAAGATTAAGGAGATTAAGGAACAACACAATCTGCAATATTAACTGAAATAGATAATTAGATAATTTTAGCTTAGCTTATACCGTCCGTTGTGCATTAAACGCGCATGCATAAATGTCTCACGCGTTCACGCATGCACAGAAAGATTGTAGCTTTGAAGTCCGGATTATAGATCATTCCGGATTATGGACGTCCGGATTTAAGACTTTTGATTGTATTTGTAAAATCAAAAATAACAAAACATAAATCCAATAAACCTTTTTTTTTTTTTTTTTCAAAATTTTTATTCATATCATAACTTATGATTTGATTTTCAAGTTATTTATGTGTGCCTATTTATATTATGATTATGTTGTATTCTGTTTGTGACAGAAAAAAAATGTAAGGGGTCGATAAGGAAAACCATTCTTTTAAAAGGCACTAATGTAAAGAAAAGTTTGGGAATCTCTTCTCTAAAGAAACATATGAATTGTTCTAATTAGAGAAAAAAATTTATCATTCCTGTCCCTTATGAGACTAAGTGCAGAATACAATTGTCTGTAATTTTCAAGTGTGAAAACGTGTCAAAATAGAAAATAGGAAAATTTGTCCAAGTTACTGTGAAAATGTGTTTAAATGACAATATACTTCTGTATAAATTTGATCACCTAGCTGTGCATGAGCTTATTATAAAATGTATGTGTTATTCACATAATTCTTTCTGAAGATATTTGAGATGTAAATATATAGAACTTTGCACATATTTCAACAAAGAAGCAATAAAAAGAAATGTCTGTTTTTGCAGTCTAAATGCAAATTATTATTTTAGAAACTGAGCAGTTATGTTTTTGGCAAATAAAAATTTTTCAGATGCTGTTATTTCTTCTATTCAGAATTTATAATGATCAAACTATGCATTTGCTCACATCTTGTGGAGTCAATTAGATGATTTACAATCTTATCTTGAATGCTTAAGTGCTAGTTACTTAGGGAATAAGAATAATGTATTTTGACATAAAAGAAAGTTTAAATTGATCGGAATCACAAAATGATGTTAGTGACAGCAGCAGAGAAGTGTTTAAATAAATTGACCCTGTACAAGCTACTAAATGCAGGTAATGAATCTTTAAGAATTACAGTGGATTGTTTTGTACATCTGTAAACATGAGCTCTTTTACATCAGCTCTGAAACAAAGTTGTTACTGGAAGGTTTCTCAAAACTACCATTTTTCTTTATATTTTTAAAAAGATGAGGTTATTGATAAATATATCATTTTTATAAACAATTGCTTACATTGATCACATAACAGTTGTTTATAGCGATCAATCAAGAGACTAGCGTTGATGTGATACAGGTACTTAAATCATTAATATTCTTTTGCAAAGATTTTCACAGTCCCCTTAAATATGTGTATGCCGAGAGCTTTAAGTATCTGTAAGACAAGGAAGAGAGAGACTGAAATGATGTTTCAGTATTTTTTATTTTTATTTATTTATTTTAAATTTTGTTCATTTATGCATTTTATTTGTATATTGTTAGTATAATTAATTATTTATTACAACTTATAGCAACAACTAATTCCATTGCAACAGTCAAGGCCAAAATCATGTGAAGTACCTGGGATAAAGTAAGTTATTCTTTTAAGCCATTTCTTTATTATATAATGTTTCTGTCAAAAGTACTTTGATTGCATTCATGTTACAGAAGTATGTGATAATCAGAGAGCAGTGTATGTGAAAATTATCATATCTTGATTTTATCACAGATATTGTAATCATTTTAAATACTTGTAAAAAAATGTAGTAAAAATATTATCACTTTTCAAACTTTTAAGCTGTAAGCTGTTTTTTGTATATGGTGTTTCAGAAAAATATTTATTTAAAATTTATTTCAGCTACTTGTATAGTTTAATTTTAAATGTATTTTTTAGTAAAAGGCTTTTTAAATTGAAGTTATGCAATTATATGAAAATAAAGTACAGAACTGAGAAATAAGAAATTGCATTTACTCATTACTTCTTTTATTTATTGAAAATTTTCTATTTATAATAATAAATGTTGTGTATAGCAAAATACAATTATTTAAGATTATAATGATATTACAAAGGAGCTTAAAAATGTGCCTTTTGTTTGACGTCAAATTAAAAAAGCGAGTTAGTTTTTTAAAGTGTGATTTCTTTGCAGTACAAAGTGACTCACTCAGGACTTTGCCCCTACTATGATTTTGATAGGAGATACCATTTCAACTTGAAATTTGTTTACAAAAGAACATACATGCTTCTAAGATTTCACATCAGCATCTGTGCTGTTTGACTGATATGCTGAGATGGTGCCACAGTGCATGAAGTATTGGGGTAGTTTTGCATCATTCTCTTTCTTTGTCGATTGATGTCAAGTGTAATAACATTCATGTTTGCTGATTGCTGAGCATATGTTTATTATTTGAAGTTATTTTCATTCTGTCATTTAAAGTCAGCGGCAGAAAGATTTAATGTGATATTTCTAGTTAAGAATAATTTACAAGGCAAGAAGAAAAGAATAAATACCATAAAAGTGTGACTGCCATTTCATGGAATGAGTTAAACAATTCAATTTTCTTTGAACAGACTGTCAACATAGTAGTTTATCTCATTATTTTCATACAAGTACATTACCAAACTGCAAAACAGTTTCTTCCTGTGAGATGGTTGACTTACCCCAGATTTACCTTCATGTATTTACTTTTCATTGAGTCATCTGAAGGACACTGTGCATAGCAATAAGCCTAGGACTAGTCAGCAGCTAAAAAAATACACTTAGGACTGAGAAGCTGTAAATAAAATACCATGCTGAAACAAACATTTGGTAGTAATGGTCAGAAGTTGGATGGATGCTTGTGGCTGACATTTTGAGTATCTTCCATAGCTTCAAGATGATTGTAAGAGATTACAAATTTTTTATTCCAATTTCAGCTTGAAAATTACATTTTTCAAGGAGAGGAATGTTCCAAATGGATTTTTCTGTATAACTAGATATTGTTTAAAAATGTTACTAAATTTATGTTTTATTTGTAGCATTTACCCATCACAAGAAGAATGTGGATCTGTGCATGTGCCAATTTCTAGTAACACAGGTTCACTACCTGATCTGACAAACTTACATTTCCCGCCACCTCTTACTACCCCATTAGACGTGGAGGATCAAGCAGGAATGGTCACCGGAAATTCATGCAACCCGATACCTCCTTATTCTCCATCCAATGCCACCAATTTGTCTCCTTCTTCACTACAGCATCAACAAACACATATATTAGGTAATTAAGGCTTGATACTTGCAAATCCAGATAATTCAAAATTTGTAAATTTAATAGGAAATTGTGTATATGAAATTAAATTGTCAAAGAAATTGATGAAATATTGATGCAGTAAATTGTTTTATTATAACTATTAGAGTTTTAACTACTAACTAACTGAGTAGGATTTATTATAACTATGGAGGTACACTGACTTCCAAAAGTTAAGCATGCAGTGCAAATTAGCAATTTTAGTTTTAAGTGTTGATGAATTTGAATGTTGAATATCGCTGCAGTAACAGATATCATTATGCAAATACCATGTGTTAAGCCAATTGTGATAGATTTTCTGAACATGTGCTAACCAAACAGTCATTAAATAGGCCATAATTCTGTAGGTTTTGGAAGAGGTGCATTTAAATAATGATAAAAAGTGTGTATAAATTTCATAGGATAATTTTTGACGATATTCGTGTTTCTGTGGCTGAAAGATGAATGGCAGGTAGTGAGCACTGGTGTGCTATTGGATGCATTGAAGCAGGACAGTCAATCAAAAATGTTGCTTTTTTTGGGGGGGGACCATTTTGCTATTTCTTATTTGTGGAAACAATTCCAAACAAGTTAAACAGTTGTCCAGAGACTGAGACCAGTTGATCCATGGTTATAACCCCTTCTGAATATCAGTAAATTACTATAGTAGGAAGGGAGAATTGACCATATGAAGGGTCTGTGTGCCTAAGTACCAAGTGTTTGTGTTCCACTAACTGCCCAATCAAGAGGGGCTGTTAACATATCAGTTGGACTGTCTCAGACTAGCATAACATTCCGTTCATGGGCAAGTCCAGATTTGCCCTAGAATCAGATGATAAACATGTAAAGGTTTGGAGAAATTGAGGCACACAGAATCTGGCTCAAAACATCTTCGAACATCCCACATTCAAAGGTGGTAGCATCATGGTTTGGGCTGGAATTTCAGTGGTATATCTCACCCAGCTGCAAATCTTTAAAGATAACTTCATTTTTGTGATGGTTATGCAGTGTTGGGACGACATCCCAATCTGTAATTCTGTGCTACAGCAGTTTCTGATTTTCTCGTTATGGATGAAAATGACCATTTGCAGGGAGCCAACACTGATAATGAGTATCTGGAGAGTGAGGACATTTTTCACATGGAGTGTCAGCCATACCTCCTGACCTTAATCCCAATGAAAATCTTTGAGATACTCTTAGGTATGCTATCTGTGCACATTTATCTTTTCCAGCTAATCTGACTTAATTGGAAACTACCTTAGTGGAGCAATGGCAATGATCCACCATTGTTGGTCACCTCATTGAAAGCATTGTAGTTGTGAAGTTTGTGTGAAGGTGTAATGTGGTTACATACTTTATTAATGTAAGTTTTGTTTCTTCTTTTTAGTTTTAACCCTTCAACCAGCACATGTTTTTGCTGGGTAACCCCAAATATGTAATTTGCTGTTAATCAAAGCTTTACTTTTCTGTTTTTGTTGATTTTGCCACTTTGTGTATAACATTTGGAAGCCAGTATATTACAATCATTGCCTTTCATATACTGTTTTTTATTATTTGCATTCATGTTATGTGAAAACTTCATATCTTCTTATATCAAACAGAGAATGCTCTGAAAGGAATTTTAGCTTTTCAATTCATTACTAGAAACACTGCAGACATTTTAAATTGATAGCATATAGTCAGTCAATTTACTTGTTTTCCAACATTTCCTTTATTCTGTACTTGTAGAACAATTCAATTAAGCAGTATGAGTAAACCCTTATATGATTAGGTATTCACTTGGTAAGTAACTAATATGCTTGACATCTTTTATTTAAGAAAAACTGTTTTAGTAAAAAAAATGTAGCCATAAGCAATTCATATTTCATACACATCAAATGATGAATTAATTAATTTGGGAATTTGTCATGATGATACTGGAAAAATTCTAGAAACCAGTTTTTATTGTATTTAGAAGAAACTGTCCAGTTAGATATTGGCTGTTGTCCCTCATTAGATATCTGAGTATTTTTATTATGAAGAAATGTCTAAATATTTATTATATTGTAATTATCTCATCAGAATATCTTATGTATTCTCATGATTAGGTACTAGTTTAAGTGGTGGAACACTCATCACTACTACATCTAGTGGAGGAAGCAGACATACGAGCCCAGGACCTTCACCATCTCCATCTTCTAGAAGGCGACATCATCATAATCTAACAAATTTAGTTATTGGTAGTGGTAGTCCTCGCCATCATGGACATCAGCATAATGTTCAACAGCAGCAAGTATGTTATAAATCCACAGGGTATAATCAGCGATCATGGAATAACATGGAGGTAAAGAAGAACCAGAGATGGCCCATAACAGTTTCAATGATAAATGCAGCTGCTTGTTTAAAATTAATAGCTTATTTTATTTCTAAATTGGGAGTCATAAAAATTTAAAATGTGTTTGTGTGTATGGTTTTAAAAAAGTAATTAACAAAGCAGGTCTTTGTAATCAAATTTTTTATGCATGCTTAGTTTATGATAAAAACACTAAGGCTAATAATTTAACTAAATGTCAAATAATTATTCACATATTAAAACAGAAATATTCTTATTACAATACAAACATAAGCACAAGTACTATTGATATTGCTCATATAATGAGGGCATAAAAACCTAGCATATTCAAAAGCATAAAAAAAAATGTAGCTAACATAAAACTTATCTGTTTCTATTTGAAATTTTTATGTTCTGTAAAGGGGAAATCATAGGCAAGTAATTTGTTTATAAACAAAACTATAAATTATGAATAATTATAATTTATAATTTTGCATATTTACATACATTTGCTGAGGTACAAGTAATAAAATTCTGTGATTCAAACCAGTATGGTGTTTTCGCATTATCTTCTATGAATTTAGTAAATTATTTAAATTTAATCAGTTTGGAAGATCAAATTCAGACTGACATTTGTGGGTGTTTTTCAGTAGAACGATATGCTTTTTCCTACCAAAAGAGGGTATTCTCATATGTAGTGAAGGATGTTTTTCTTCTGTGGAAACTCTTTCCAACTTCAGGTGTATGTAATGCATAAATGCTAAAGATATTTTTTCTAGCTACATAAATTCTTTAAATGTATATAGTTCGTATAAAATAATATTTTTGTAAAAAGGGATGTAAAGTTTTAATTTTGCTGTACCAGAAATGCAGCTAGAAAGCAACAATTACTTTACTAATATTTCTGTGCGTAATATAAATATGTTGGCATGAGAAAGCAATAATTTGCTTGATAATTGTGTGCGCTTATCCACCAAGAACGTGTTTATTCTTGTATTCATTTTGATAAGTTTTGTATTTGGTATTTCCTTTGTGGATTTTCAGGATTTGAGAAATAATGAAACAAAAGATTTGAGTTTTTTAAGTCACAGGCTGTTGTGAAAGTTTTAATTATCATACAATGAAATTACATATCATTAAAGAAAGTATGTGTTAGAAGTGCAGACTGGTGTTAGCAAAGAGAACTAGGAAATTTTTTTTGAAGAAGGCAAATTGTGTATTTCCATTTGCCATGTAATTATTTATTTATTTATTTATTTTTACTGCTGTTGCATGGTATTAATACAGGCCTACCAGCAGCCGAGAGGTAAAAATGCTGAACACTGGTAGTTCAGTCCGAGGTTCGAATCCCGCGAACAGGCTGACTGCATGAGCATTTTCGTGGTACTGTTGTTACATGGTATTAATACCTGTCAGTTTTCCCAGGACTAACTATGTATGCTTGAATACTGTTAAGTTGCATTCAGAAAGTTTGTATTACTAAAACAAGAAAAACTTAGTTTTCTTGTAACCAAGCAGCCAACTGAAGTGTTCATTTTCTAAATCATTGCCAAGTTACCTAGGTATAAGCCAAATTTCCATTATGAAATGACACATATGCTAATTTTCCAGATATTGTTAATCTATAAATAGGTAACATTTTCATTACATTCAGAGTACTTCCTTACCATATATCATTAAATTTTATGTGCTATGTATTCATTGCAGTACATATTATATGTGGCATTTTATAATTGAAACAGGTTGTAATAAGTGAAAAATGTGTATATATAATTAATTTCATTTTTTAGAAATTTTTTTCACTGAAATAATAATAAAGTATATTCCAATTCCTTATGCTAGTAAACAGTGCGTCAGTATTTTTTATTCTATTTCTCTGGCAGCTTCACTTGAAATATCTGCTGTAACAAGGCTATGCTTAGAACCATCTCTTGTTCTTTCTCTTTCCTGCCTCCATTGTACAAGACTTCCTGTTAACTATTTCCTGTTTTCTGCTGGTTTGTTTTCTCTGTACAAACTAATATGAAGCAGTTTGTAGTATTAGTTCATGTATATTTAGCTATTTAAAGTTACAAACTTAATATTAAAAAAAAAATCTCTACACAGTAGTCCTGCATCTTATGTGATAACTAGTTAACCAATTGCCTGCTTTAGAAATCCCATGTGTTCTAGGTTCTTGCATAAAATTGTTCATGTATTTTATGTATAAGTTGTTCTCTCCATCTGTTTAGTTCAAATAATAATTAGGTTACTGTGCAGGATCTATTACAATTTAAATTCTAAGTAAAAAAGTGCAATAATTGTTTTATTATGTTCATTAGAGAAAAAGACTGGGAAAATATGTATGCAATATGTGTACATTTATAACAGAAATAGTCATTATAAACCTAAAATTGCAGACTGTGATGCACTGAATATCAGTAATTCCTTTCAAACTGTGTGAATGATTTAAAACCCATTGCATTCTGACTTGATCTTAAAAATTATCAAAAATTTAATTTTTTAAGCTTATTTATTTTCTCCATATTAAAGCATTTGAAATTTTTTTTGTGAGGATATTTGAAATTGCATGGCTGTGCCCACACTCCCCTCATATTGGCTGATCTGAAGGAGACTGTTAAGCAAGAAGTGGCAGCAACTGATTATGAGATCTTGGACCATGCATACACCGCTTTCTAGCTAAGGCTTGAATCTTGCATTCAAGCTAATTCGATATCACTTGTCTGTTATTATTTTTTTCTAATAATATGCATTTCAAATGCAAGTAAATTACAAAGAGTTTTTTGTATTTTCATGAACAAGTCAGTATTGTTCATTTAAATAATGTTTGTTTCTCATCAATCACCCTGCATAAATTCACAATTAAGCTTAACAAAATTACATTGTATTTATAACATATTTTGATTAACACCATAACTGCTGTATAACCCATCAATGGACTGTGATAGGTTTATTTTGGAAGCTGCATGATCCACTGATGAGTCACCTTTTGTCCAGCTTGATATGGAAATATAAATTTTTACGACCTCCAAATCATTTACCGTAATTTCCGGAAGAAAGGCTGCATCAGCGTAAATGCCGCACTTGAGAAAAATGGCGGGAAAAAATTAAAATTACACAGAAACGCTGCATCAGCGTAAACGGGCGCAATAGATTAAATTGCGCGTGACATCGTCGTGGGCCGTATAGATGCAAAATCTCAACCTATGTTCTGATATATGACATATCAGTTAAAAAAAATGCATGAAATGAAACCATTACTCAAAAATAAATTAAAGGTAAGAAATATTGAAAATATATTTACGTTCTCGAATATACTTATATTTACCCACTAAAGAAGTCCATATTTGTAATACTCAGACTATATTATAAAAAAATGTTGCAACAACGAAATATTAAATTTGGATTACAAAAGGAAATTTTTAATTTTACTTACAAAAGCTGATTCTTCACTATCTGAATTAAAAAGATTTAATAAATCCTGATCTAAGTTTAAGTCTTCCAGATCGTCACATTCATCCTCTTGGTTTACAGTCTCTTTATCTAAAGATATAATTTCAGCTTCTTTGAACCCTGCTATTATTGACAATGTTTTTACCAATTTCCATGTACTTCCTACCCACTTTGCAACTTCTTCATAAGATGCTTTACGAGATTTACCGCTTTTGGTATACGTATGCAATCGTTCACTCATCCAACACTCCCATCGTTTTTGGACTACAGCTTTGAAGGATTTATTACCTGACAAATCTAATGGTTGTAAGATTTTTGTCAAACCACCAGGAATTATTGGCACGGTCATAGACAATTTTTGACATCTGGTTTTTGTTGGCTCAAGTAAATGAGCACGTATGGAATCTATTATCAATAACCCTTTTGGTTGGAAAAAAGATCCCTTACGACACTGCCAAACTTTTTGTAGCCACTCGTGCATGATTGTTTCGCACATCCAGCCGTTCTCGTTTGCAAAAATAATTACGTCATTAGGAAAATCTCCCTTCGGAATAGTTTTCCGTTTAAAAATGATCATCGGCTTTAGCTTGTCACCGTTTGCGGCACAAGCTAACACACATGTAAATGATGTTCTTTCATACCTTGTCGTAAGCACAGATACAGTTTTTGCGCCAGTTTCATCAACAGTTCTGTTTGCAGGAGAGTCAAAAGCTAATGGCATTACATCCATATTTATTATCTGTTGACCGAAGAAGTTTTTGTTTTGTCAATAATATCTGTCACATATTTTAGAAAAAAAGCTTTTTTTATCCTGCCAAGTCCATTGGTAATTGTGTGGCCTGGACTACTTGTTCTAGTTACGCACAGAAGTATATTTTTTATTTTTATAAATCTGCTACGCCAGCAAGGCCCTCCTTTGAAATCATTTATGTTCATTTGCTTTCACCTATAAATTTTACTTGTAAGCGAATTTTTCACAGTTCGAAATTGCCATTTCCTTTTTTTCGTTGCTCCTTTATCCAGTTTTTTGCAAGGTCGTCCTCTATATTTCGGACCAACCTTACAGTACCACTTCTTTTTGCACGTTTCTGTTGTGGCATATTTTTAAGTTCCTTCTTTTATCTGTTCTCCAACATTCATTGCGTCTATCATCCACTTCAAACTCTCGATATGCTGCTCTATTTCCAATTTGTTCAGTATGTGAAATTACATTAAGCGTAAAATCAGCAGTATAGCTTCTGTGCCGTTTAGGTGCCATTTTCAAAAATTTTCAGCTCCTTTCTTACTTAAAAACTATCCAACAAGTACTTGTACCCAAACTTATGGGATCTGTATCTGGCAGAATGCCAAGAAAAATCGATTCATGCTGAAGGGGGGATACACCAGAGTTCGTTATTGCAAGGCAGGTGGAGTCGTGTCTGCCTTTGAAAAAAATTGCAGAAAAGGCAGGGGTGGGGAGAGGATGGTGTAATGTATTTTGCAGTAATTTACAAAACAGACAATCTTCC